GGTTTCTCCATCACTTTGTAGCAGTTTGCTGTCAGGCTGACGGGTCTGTAGTTCGTCGCAAGAGCACAACTACCGTTCTTGTAAAGGAGTGTAATGTGGGCCGTTTTCCAGTCTGCGTGAAGGATTCCGCCATCAAACGATTTCCGACACAAAAAGGATAGTGGTCTGACCAGCTCTCGGGCAAGCTCAAAGAGCAGCTTTGCTGGGATTTCGTCCAGACCGGGAGATTTAAATTCCTTTAATTCTTTTTAGTCTTTCCGAAATGGCTTCTAATCGAAGCACAATGTTTTTAATGGTGGGATATCCAAAGTTCTCAGAACTAGATGGAATAAAGTCTGCTTCTCTTGTGAAGACGGATTGGAAAAAATGAGGAAAACGCTCAGAAGCGATTCCTCTTTGGTAGCGTCATAACATGAACCATTCACATTCTAAATGTTCTCAACTTTATTTTTAGTGTGAATATTAGAAAGTGCAGTAAAAAAAATGGAGTCATCAGGGGCTTTGCCTCCAACAATTAAAATAAACGAAGACAAAAATAGGTTTCGAATCCTGTTCGAGATATTACTCCTGACGCTCTTCAGCTGAGTTTGTACAGGAGTCGCTCATGTAGTAAGAAACAAATGCTTGCCTAAATTTAAATGTAATTTATTAAATGCCAGTTTACAGGCATTGTCAAGGAAGAGATTAAACACGAATCCGACCAGCAGTGAAAAAAAACTCCTGAAGAATAAAAATATAGTTGGTGCTGGTTTTTATGGTTTGGAGGGTTCAGGAGAAAAAAACTGCTGGCGGTAGATTTTCGACCGTCAAGAAGGGGGGAAGGGGGTTGCACGGTATCGGAGATCATCGGACGTCAATTCCTTTCATGAAGTTGGGGATTGTCAAAGTAGAGGCGTTGAGGAACAGCTGGTGAGACCGGCCATAGTGTTCAGAGACCACAAACGCCATCGCTACGGTAGAGTCGATCAGTGGATTCAGAACCCAAAATTTGAGGAAGCTTTTCTGAATGCAAAAATCGAGTAATAGTCCTCTTCAATAAAGGATAATTTTGCAGAGTTTTTACACTCATTGGTAGTTTATTCCAAATAGCAATTGCATTTACAGAATAGGACCGACGATATTTAACAGTACGTGCCAGAGGCAGAAATCAGAAGACCTCACGGTGACTGTTACGTCGTGGGTGGATATGATGTCTTAAAGAAGTGAGTGGGTTAAATGTGTGATTATATAAGAGTTTAACTAGCAAAAATAGTCCCTTTTGTAATCTACGGAACCATAAAGGATCAAGGCCCGTAAGCCGGCAACGTTCTTGGTAAGACAAATGTCGGAGTTCTGGGGTTAAAATCCTCTTGGTAAAAAAGTGTTGAACGGATTCTATTTTCTTCCGCTCAGTAGCACGCATGAGGCTAAATAAAAACGAACAGTATTCCAGACCAGGTCTAACGTACATGTTGTAAAGGCGCATTCTGATGTCCCTAGTTTTAAAGTTTCGGAGGATAAACCCGGTCGTTCTGCGTGCTTTGGAGACTATCAAGGCACAGTGCTCCGAGAGATTGAAACTGTTGGAGTATGATATGCCCAGATCCTTAGTAACCCTGGGCACATTTATGGAATGACCTTCAATATTTAGTTGAGGTTGGTGGTCGTCGCCAACAACCATGACTGAGCACTTATGCCAAGAAAGAGAAAGGCGTCATGTGCGGCACCACTGGGCGAAAGCCTGTAGATCGCTCTTTAGGAGCTCAAGCACGATGTCACGATCTGCCGGCTTATATCGATATGCAACTTTAATATCATCGGCATACATGAAAGGCTTACCATTCTGAAATAAATCGGGTACATCATTTACGAAAAGCGGGCCGAGTACACTACCCTGAATGACTCCACTCCTCACACGTGTGGGGTTGGAGATGGTATTGGAAATCTTAACTCGTTGTGTACGGGTGCCAAAGTAAGAGGATATAAAATTCAAAAGTTTGTCACCTATTCCGAAAGAGGACAGTTTCAAGAGAAGAAGAGCATGTTCAACACGATCAAAAGTCTTAGTGAAATCGAAATATACTGTGTAAAGTGCAAAACCATTGTCTCTAGATTGGAAAACATTGTCAAAGAAAGAGAGTTGACAGGTGTCACAAGATCGAGACTTGAGGAATGCATGCTGAGCAGCACTCAGCAAGTTATTCACTGTTAAGTGACACATCATCTTCTCTTTGATCAATGTCTCTAAGATCTTCGAAACTGCGGGGAGGGTGCTTATTGGCCGAAAGTCATCAAATGATGTAGATTTGCCGTGCTTAGGAATGGGCAAAATGTGTGATTCCTTCCACAAGGTAGGATAGGTTTCAGTTTCAAGAGCAAGATTAAATATCTTGCATAAGAGGGATGGGAAGATCGTGTTTGCATCGGCTTTTAAAATGCTTACTAGGACACCATCAGGGCCGGGACTATAAGATTGACGAAAACGCTGAATCGCAACAGTCACATCCCACAGAGTGAAAGTTATAGTTTCCAGAACTGCGCCGGTAAATGGCTGGATGGTCGGAAGCGGAGTGGTCGAGTCTTCAATGAACGTTTTGGACAGGAAATCATTGAAGCTATCCGCGGTTAACTGGGCATCAACTGTGGGATTTCCGAGAGCTTCTCGGTGGATGGGATGCTGCGTCTTTCTATGAGTTCGTATTTTTCTAGAGAAAAGTTTCGAGACACTTAACGAAAGGTTTTCGGTATACTGGACCTCTTCGGCTAGCTGTTTTTCTTCAGACAATCTCGTAGCTCGATCAAAAATATCACGAATTAAGTGCAGGACAGAAACATCGTTCTGAAGATAGAAACGATGATAAAGCCTGCGCAATCTGCGACGATTAGGTAAGGGTAGGCAAACCTTATCCTCAACATTAATCATTTTCTTACGGGGGACAAAACGAGAAATAAGCGGATCCAAAATTTCGTACAGATTTGCAGTGCAAACATTTACATGCGAACTAAGGAAGAAATCAGTCCAGTCGTAGAAATTAAGGTGTGTTAATAATTCGGTTGTGCGAGTTGAACGGAAATTGCGGAAAAAGCAACACTTTGGGGACGACGTTTTGTCAGCCTCGAATTCCAACGTTGAAACAACTATGTCATGGTCTGAGCCCCCGAGTGGGCCTAGGGATGACATCGACGAAAGCATAAACTGTCTACGTTGCCTTCCCTCCATTAGCTACCCGAATCCATTGTACTGAACAGTAGAGCAGATTTTTCGAGCAGGATTTGCCTCCACGGGATCCATGCTGCGCGTCGCATAGCAGATTATGTTGTTCTAGGAAGCAGATTAGCCCTCGCTTGACTATTTTTTCATAATTTTGCAGCGGATTGGAGTAAGTTTGGTAGGTATCTAGTGGTTTTTGGAGACCCTGCTGCTGCCTTCATACGACGATGCTGTCCGCGTAGACATCTGTATGGCAGGTAAAAAGCCTGCTTCTAACAAGCATCGGAAGACCATGGGCAGCGGTCTGTATAGTTCTCCACTGAGCTCCAGCATCAGTTTCGACGAAATATCACATGGCGCAGATTGTTTGAGAAATAATCGTTTCGCAAAGAATGCAGACTCAGTAATTGGATCTTCCACTAGGTCGTATTCGAGAGGAATAAATTCACTATGCCTTTTGTGAAGATGGAATTATCAAATTTCGAAAGATACTCCGCCTCAGTAGGCTTTAGATCTTCATTTGAATTCGATACTGAGGTTGGATGTCTGTTTCCTGTGCTCCTTCCTATGTAACCGTCGAAAAACTTTGGCCTCTTTACGGCCCAAATCAGTTAGCATTTCTTGAAAACATGCCGTGTCCTGAGGGTGAGTCGCCTAACTAGGTTTCTCTGCGCTTTATATGCATTTATCAACACAGGGTTTTCGGTTTTCTTTCGTGTCTTGTTATTGCCGAAAGTGTTGAGTTGCCCAGCAACAGAGTATTTTCAATACAAAGTATGCTACTTGGAAATTTCTTTTCTTTTGTTGCTGTTTAGCCTCCCTTTTAGAGGCTAGTTTTTGGTGCCTGGAATACACTTTCAGAGATCGTTATAATGGCGGACAAACAAAGCCATTTAAAAGTAAACTGAATACATATTTGCTTGAAAAACACTGTTCAACCGAAACGGAAAGAAACGATACACTAATCTTAAACTTTGTTACAGCTGCTGCTAGCGTGCATATCTACCACTTCACAATATACTCCATATCTGAGGGCTTAAGTGTTAAAAGCCTTATTGGTAAAATAATAGGTTGAAAGGTGTATATGCTATCAAAAACATTGCACTAGCATGATTATTCTGATTCAAGTATTGTGAATATGATCTTAATACTAGTAATAATAATCATAGTCCAAATCATAATCGAATTTAATGCCGCTTTACGGGCATCGTCAAAGAAACATATAGCACGGATCCGACAATGCCCATTAATCCTTTTCTGGCGAAGTAAGTCTGATGACAATGCTATAAACTAGAGCAAAGCCTATAACCAAGAACACCATAGTCTACAGTCCCAGTTGTTCGCGCGCATAATAGAAGCAGTTGAAGTCCCGCTGTTTTTGCATATGGGTTTTTTAAAGTCAAAGTTATATAAACAAATTCTGTTTGATAATTCAGACCATTGTCTAAACGCGTACCCCCATCGCCTCCTGGCAGTTGAGATGTTTCCGCCCGCCTTTCAAATTCTTGTCCACTTCTCTGAATTTCCCAGCTATGCCCTGGGGCTTAATGCAAATGTTGTAGCAGCATCTATTTGGGATTAAGGGGTGATCACCAACTGCCCAACCGGCATGCTATTTTTCAATTTCTGTGAGCATTCAAGAGAGTGGCTTTGGGTATGTGGATACATGGGTTTGACCAGGAAGGTAATAATATGGTCGATATTGCGCGTTTATAGATAAAATCTCCAGTGGTCCTCTGATTGAGTCCTTGAACCTTGTTTTTCTGTGGTACCACCATAGAAGTTGTTATTAGCACTTTTACGAAATCTGATGGACGCTCTCGATAGACCGGTTAGGATCCCACCCAGATATGTCCATTACGCAAACAAGCATTCGCTTTTTCAACTCCAAAAAGTAATGAATATTAAGCTTCTGTCAGAAAGTTCATAGAATCTGTTGGAACGACTAATTCTTGCTCGACCAGACGATCCCATTCAATATCTCATAGATTATTTGAAACTGGAAATTTCTCAAGGTAAAATTGACTAGTTTTCCTAGTATTCATTAAGTTCCGGCTATTTATATTTTTGGCCCGCCATGTTCTGGGAAGAGAACACTTGGTAATTACATCTCAAAGAGTCTTAATTGCGTCCACATTTCATCTGAAAACGTCAAAAATCTGGAGGGGTTATATGCCATTGATGACGCAGAAGCATACGAACAAGTAAGAGCATAAAGATTTTCATACCTGAAGTGTCCAAGCCCTTATTATCTTGCCATGTCCTTGAAAAAACGATTGCTCCAGCAGGATTGCGAAACACGAGGTTATGTGTTGACCGGATTTCCTGAAACAGAAGAACAAGCAAAGGCGCTACAGTTCGAAGGAATCTTCCCGGATATTGTGCGTATGAATATCTTTTCGTTTCTTAAACTGCTTATAGTGGTTCTGGATACACAGGATTGCGTATTGATAGAAAGAGCCGCTGGTGAACTAATTGATCCCGAAACTGGTGGTGGGTCTACTTTTTAACGTTTCTATGGGTTCAACCGTTTTAAGAATTTAGCATATTCAGAAAATTACAGTTAATATTTTCGATCATTTAAATACACTTTTATACGGTAGTGCCGTGTTAACATTGATTTTTCTATCGGCCCACTTCAGCGCGGATTTAGGTAGGCCGCGTGCTGATCATACTTCGAATAGTTTTGGAAGCGAGTACTTTTGGCTTACTCCTTGGTCTTAGCAGAATGTGTTCTTATTTTTCGCACTAACGTAACCAAATATGAGGTATATAATTTGTTTATGTGTTTAATAGTGGTTCATGAATATGGACAAATATAAATGGGCAGGTATAATTAGGCAGCCAAATTCTATATTTTCCACAGGATGTTGGAATAATATTTAACGTAAGCATATAGTTAACACACAATCAATATCCATGACTGAGAAGCTAGGGTAATTTTCAATACATATAATGGTTCTGTGATACTCACTATGGTTGGGTCTTAATGAACTGAAAACCGCTTGCACTTTGTAAGCCTACTTCTTGGGCTATATTTCATCGTGAATATGCAATCGGTCTGGCATAGTTCGGTTAGAAATATCGTACTATGGACATCAATTACAGGTAGGCAGTTCTTTCGAGAATTTTGTCGGCGATGAGCAACATCGGAAGAAAGACTATGAGCTGAAAGGTCACCAGGGATTACTTTACACATTTTGGTATATAAACTGGATCAGACTGCTCACCGCTCTCTTAGATGGTGACCTGCCATTGTATCTTTTCAACCAGTCACTAAAAATTCGAGGAAAGAGTGCTTGTTTTTTGGGGGGTGGCTGCTGAACCAAGTCTGTTTGTCAAGTTCGGGCAGCAGTGCTTGGCAGACCTTTCAGTCAGTCAGTCAGTCTCGTCTTTCGTTTGTTTGTCTGTGCAGCAAATCCTCTCAACAAACTTTCTGTCGAGTAAACATTCAAAGACCCGCGATGCTCAAACGTAGGATCTTGTTCTTATCGCTCGAATACCTTGTGAATTTAGACTTTATAGGTTCATCGATAGGCTCATCATGGATACTGCGTTCGCACCGTCTCGTCCTTTTCACACTTCCTCAGCTTGCAAAATGACTGTTGCCAGAATACAGAATAGTAGCTTCACAGCCTCCAAAATCCGCCTATATGATCTTAGTTTTTTTACTTATCCAAGAACGAGACTGGTTTGAGTCAGCTTCAATACTTGCATGGGTAGCCAGTGAACAGTCTTTCAGACTACGAGCGGCTTCTTGAACTCGCTTGAACGTTTGTTTTCCAGCTTTAATTTTTCCTGTATTGACAGCTAAAGTATTTGATTGTTCGCAGGCAATACTGAAACATTGGCCGACTATTTTTCTAGTCTGTTTCGTCATGTTGTCGACCTTGTCATATACGCATCCCGGAAAAGTTTCTCAGATGCGAACGTTCCATCTTTCTGGAAAACTTTACTAGTACTTAATTTGACACACCTAATATGGCATCAATGAGCAAAATACAGCCCTGAACGAAGGTACAGTCGTTATAGGAGCTCCGACCGTGGACACCGTATAGGGCTTATAAGTTATTGATATGCTTGGATTGGCATGAACAAGACTGTTTTATTAGCCATCACGTTAAACGAAATCTTTAGAAATCCACATCAATATTGATCTATTTTAAGGAGGCTCATAACTACACGTAACGAGTTACCGTAACGATTGAAACCTTTCAAGCCGTGATAAGTGCATCTGATTAATTAAAACAGGGCAGCATGCCACAGGATTGGTCTCACTATCTTTTCTCTGTATCACTGAAGAGACAGCGAAGTGAGTTTGGGCCCAGCTTTGCCCCAGTCGCATCTGCAAATTCCACCTGTTTTTCTCCTATCAGATACTTACCACGCCATCTTTAACCCGGCTCCTGACCCAAAGATGGCAGCTCGCTTGGAGCGTGCACCGGGCACATCGCCGGAGGAAATGAAAGCCAGTCTAAAGGAGTACCATCACCACTTTGTCGCCCTGAAGAATATATATGGCGACCTGATGACCTCAATCAATACGGATCAGCCATTGACGGATGTATTTTCACAGGCTCTGTGTCGCCTGAACCGTCCTCCCCGGACCGTTGCCATGTGGACGCCGCGGGTCGTCCTACTCGGCTACTCAGGCTCCGGGCGCAAGACCATGGCTCGGATGCTTGCTAAGAAGTATGATCTCGTGCCAGTCCACTGCGGCACTCTCATTCGCACTGAAGTTCTAAAGGGCAGCAAACTGGGTCTGGCTATGTCGACGTACACTGAGGCCAGATTGCCAGGTGGGAATTAACACTCATCGTTTCTCTCTCTCTTGACAGTTATTGGATCATTTTACATAAGGGATCACGCTTTTATCTCGGAAATAGGTGGATCCGCTTAAAATATAAATCAGCTCGTTAGGCATTAAACCAGACAGTGTGATAGGAACTACCTAGTCGCCATCGTGGCTGCTTTTTGCCCATAGGACTCAAGGGGTTGAAAATAAGCTGGCGACAACTAAACCACAAGGTGACTGCTGGGAGGGGGTTAAATGCAGTGACGCCTTTTGTCAAACGGCACTGTCAGACGAAGCACGTCTGACAGTATTAACAGAGGTCTCCTTTAATTACTGCTGTCGTATATGCACAAAGTACCATACTCTGGTACCGGACTGGCAACCGGAGATAATAGTTATATTGTTAGTTGCTTCAACGACTTCCTAGTGCAGGATGTATTTTACGTCCAGCGTTTGTAGTGAGAAAAACCGAAATGCCATAGGGGAGTTTGTTGTTATTTTCGCAACATATGGTATCAGTTTGGATTCCCAATTTTCTTATCCTGTAGACTGTACACTGACAGTGTGCCGCCGGTGAAGTGGGACTTCTCATGAGCAAGCTACGGTAAGTGGGCTAACTCATGGAATTACGAAATGCATTTTTGTTTCGTAAAGATTACTTAAGTGGGGTTTTAAAATAAATCGTACTGTAGCATAATTCAGTTACCCCAGGAGACCATCTTTCGAATGAACCTCGTTTCGGCCGCACGCAAAAACTGTACTCTGTAAAGAATGACTGCTTATGCAGCATGCATTTTTCTCATTGATTTTCGGTGCCCTTAAAGATTCAATTATATTTTATGGAAAACATCTATAAAACACTTACTCTTTTGCTCATTCGGTAGGATATTACTTCTTTTCCATTTTTACACTCGATGGAAGGGTGTACTTCAGTTTTCGAAAACTTTCCTAATTCTCGAATAATTTTGAAACTCGACCTGCCGTTACACTTGCATTCAGGGTTTCCAACTTACAAGCCCTATATTTTCCGCGTACGGACAACCATACACTTCTCTACGGGAGACTATATGGGATTCATAAAATTTAGTACTGGATTTGAACCACACCGTTAACTTTGTAAGCCACATTGTCAAAGGCAGAGATATGACGTTTTATAAACGGCCATTCTACGGTAGTGAAAATCCCACAATTAGAAACTCTTTAAAAACCGAATTATACCTTTTCTTCGAGTAAAAAAATTGGAAGAAGACGTAATTTTCTACTGAATATGTAGAACAATGAATACTTTTATGCGTTTTCCATGAAGTATAATCTAATTTTTTAGGGCATCGGAAACCAGTGACAAACATTCCAGCAACTTAAGTAATCATTTTTACAGAACGTGGTCTTTGTATGCAACAGAAAGAGGTTTGTTCGAAAGCCAAAATCCTTAGGCAACTGAATTGTTATAAAATTATGCCACAAAGTGATTTGTTTTACAGTCCTATTTTATTAATCTTTGCGAAACGAAAACACATTTCGTAATTTCGGTTGACATTTCATGAGTTAGCCCACCTACTGCAGTCGATGTGGATATGCCGGCGAAATCCGTTGGCTGAATAACCTGATAGTTATAAACAACACCAGTGCTGCAGTTCGCTCTGGGCTCCACTTCACTTCATCCAGCTACTGGTTACGTATTCAGAGTTTCATGTCCGCCAGTAACCGATGCTACCTTTGAGGAAATGTGAAAGCCTTTTGTCTCGATAGTATTGTGTCGTTTATGCCTTTGGTGACCAGCGCTCCATCTTATAGGCCAGCAAAAATCGAAGCAGGCTTCAGTGGTATACGTTTTTTAGATATCTGTCATGTTAACGAGCATGTGCACTTTCTACCCCCAAAGTCTGGTGAATCCAGCTTACTGTCCGAATTATAAGACCCCCTGTCGGGCAATGTCACACTACCGGTCCAGTTACCTGACAGTGCCGACTACATACTATCCATTTCCGTCTACGTCTGTTGATTGCACGCGTTCCTGGACCTGCAGAGCTCTTGAAACTTGGACCCATAAAGCTGCGTACTTCGCACGCAGCTCAATATGACTCTTAGTTGAATGGCCGTCCATGCTTCTTAAAAGCGTGTTGCTGGATGGTCATAACCTCGGTCTATCACTCTGGCTGAGCCGAGGCTCAGGTCGTGGGTAACACGGGTAACGTGAGATGCCATCAGCAACTTTATGGCCTCGCCCGTAGTTTTCAGCGTGGCAGAACTCTCTGTAACTGCAATTTAGCCAGTAAACAACGAATACCTTTGTCCCATTAAAGATAGGACTTTTAAAAAGCACCATTTGACGGCGAAGTGCTAAATTGGATTCCTTAACGGCTCGCACCGCGAGTGTCGCGTAAAGCTGATAAAGATGTATGAGCTTCTTACTGTGTACTGGGCGACCCGCATAACTTGGCTAGTTTCCTGCATTTGATTCATCCATGTGGGCCTGTCGGCCTTTTTTGACGAGCTTTTATGGACAGGCGTTTGTTCTAAAGAGTTGCCGAGGTTTTTTGAACTAGGTCCTCTCGGCAGCTGACGTGCTGCGGCAGTTACACTCGCCAGTACAGTGCGCTCGGTGTAGACGAGAAATTGTCATCTAGAATGTGTTTGTTGGTTTTTGACTACCGCCTTCGGCTGTTGACTCTCTGGTTGGGCACAGATAGTTGCGCCCACAATCCGAAGCCAGTCGCAAATCCCCCCATCCATCGTAAAGTCTGCTTCAGGGACGACGTATTTTAAAGCCCCCTATCCCGTTCTACTTGATGAGAACAGACAGGCTACCGAGCTTTCATGCCCCAAATCCGAGTTGATACTTCTAGAGCACATGTCCCCCAGGATTAGTAGTGAGGTACCACCAATGTACGCAGAAACTGGTAAACATATGAGGGCGCTTTTGATTTGCACGTAAGTGAATTCATCTACAGTGAAACAAGCTTAAGGGGGCTTGAGCTCTAGAGAGGCCATCCTAATTAACAAAGCATTCACTTATCAGTTTGCTTACAGTTTACACCATGAATTTCTCATGCCTAGAGGTTAGGAGAAGTGACAAACACTGAAATGATTGCTCCCTGCTGAATGATCCCTTGACGCCGAGAAGCAGGGTTTACTAAGATTTAAAAGGGTTCGAGAAATCCAACCACTTGTTTGATGAATAGCTTACACGTTGTTTACACGTTGGATCTCAGCCAGATATGACGTCCTCCGAGCTTACAGAGAGTTCTGCATCACCTTTCTCTGTCATTGTAGGGCACAGAAGTGTTTGGACACGCTGGAAAGGCCCCTGCATAAAAATTTCAGGAGTTTACCTCATTAAAAAGTCCTACCCAACTCAATTTAGTCTATTGAAAGACGTATTAAAAACTACAACGGTAGGGTGGAGGACCCCAATTAAATGTCGGCAGACTGTGGATCATGTCACATGGAGTTTTATCTTCGCACCCATTTGCAAATCGTTGCAGAAATTACACTGCCAACAATGATTGCTTCCAATGACCTCAGACCATTATTCAAACTCCGTTATTCTTTTAAATTTTTTTTAATTTTTTAATTAATGCGCACATTTCCGTTGCCATACGAAAGTGTACGACAAGACTTCCGGCCGAAATTCAGACGGTTCCTGTGTTTTCTTGGATTTTGTCAGCTTACTGGGTAGAGGTCGGTTACGCTGTCCTGGACTCAAGTGTAAGCGCAATGTCAGCATTGCAAGTAAAGTAAGCCGAAGGAGGATGCAGAAGTCTTAGTGGGAAAGAAGTTACAGCTAAAACGGATAAGGGCAGCCTGGTGTTTCTGTTTAGAGGTAGGGTTGATTTCGGGATTTGGGTAAGTGTCGGGCTGAGAATCGAGTTTAGGGTTTGCGTTAAGCTTAAGGGTCCCGGTTAGAGTTGGGGTTTGGATTGTGGTTTAGGTTTACGTTTAGCGTTAAGGTCGGGGTTAGGGTTAGTGTTGGGGCAGGGTTACGGTTAAAGTTAGGCTTGGGGTTATGATTAAGGTCAGATTTATGGTTAAGGTTAGGGTTACGGTTAAGGTTGAGGTTGGGATTAGGGTTTGTGGTAGGTTTAGGATTAGCGTTAGGTTTATAATTACGCTAAGAATTAGGTTTACTTTTGAGGTGAGGTTTACCGCTGGGCCTGGTGTATTGCTGCCCCATTATTACCATTACCGTATGACATGATCCACAGTTCACCGACGGTTAAGTGGGGTCCTTCACTCTACCGTTGCCAAAATTGCTTTAAAGATGGACGGAAAACTGTACTTTTTAAAACTGTATGAAACATTTACATGCGCCACCTTCTCTCTCTCCCCCCTCCCTCAACCAAATCCAGTTCCGGACCCGATGGTCATTAAGCTGCTTAAACTGCGTCTAACTGAGGTGGACTGCACCCTCAAGGGTTGGGTCCTCTACGGCTTTCCCCGTTCCTGGATACAGGCTGAACTCCTGGATTCCGCTGACCTTGAGCCGAATCGAATCATCGTGTTGAACATACCACATTCCGAAACAGCTGTTCGCCTCACTGGTCGACGTGTGGATGCGGTCACAGGTGAGACCTATCACCTCTGCCAAAACCCCCCACCCGAGGACCTGGTGGACCAGCCAAAGCGAATAGGCATTCGACCGCGCACATCGGAGTGCGAGATTAGTACCAAGCTGTCGCGTTTCGCTGCTCAGCGCGACGAACTCATGAAGTTCTACGGCTCACGTGTGACCCAAGTCAACGCCGATCGCGAGATTCCTACGGTGTTTGAAAGCGTGGAGGCTGCTATTACAAAACCACCCCCCTATAAGAGCGACTCCTAGATTTGCTGACTGTACAGTTGAATGTGCGGGCGCATGCTTGTTGCCGAATACTGTGTCCAAATACATAATGTGCCTAAAAGTGTTGTGGCCTCTTTTGTCTCACCGTGCTTTACCCAGTAAACCTTAGAACGACCGTACCCTACACGCCCTCTTTTAGGAGGGGATACCGACAACCATCTCAGGCGTGATTCCCAGAAATGAATGGGAAGGGAAGTTCAAAAAGTATATGGAGAAGCATCAACTAGATAAGATCTTTGAGGTGAGTGATCGGTTTTGCTGCTCTGGTAATAGGTAGCAGGCAGTTTTTCGTTCTCCTGAACGATCGGTTGCTGGAAGCAGAGAGTAGGCATGTTCATGACTCGGGATCAGGCAATGAGACCAGTGTGCTAAGGCCCCTGTCACTGTAAATTCCGGGGATGAGTAAAGATTCGTGCTGCAGAAACCACGTCCAAAGAAAATAAGGTTGGCATGCGGGAAAGTAGGTGCAGTAGCCTACCCTGGTTCAATGCCAGAGAATCACACAACTCACAAATTCACTGCTTACATAAACCGAGCTGTGGGTAAACTTATCACGTACACACAAGCACTAGTCAGTCAAATGCAAAGCAAATGGGCCCCTGACTGACTTGAAAGGTTCAGTTAAAAGACAGGGACCTTGGCTACTGACTCATTCTCGCGATGAATCCGAAAGTAAATCCTGCATTTCACAAAAATACCCCCACTTTTCGGAAAGCGGCCTTCTGAGAGAAGATGTTATCTGCTTTGTTGGTTAGGAGGAACACATTGTAGCCCGTTTTCAGTAGTGCGTTCACCCGCTGATTGGAGGACTGAGAGTCGGCTCAGTCGATCTCTCTGACGGTAGTCTTAGAGCCAGTTGGATGAGGAAGGAGAGGGTGCGGTAGATGCTAAGCAAGTCTACCTCACTATAAACGAATCCAGGTGCAAGTCACCGTCCTTCGCCCATTTCGTGGGGACCAAGGCGGACGTTGTCGATTGAAAAGGACAAACTGTGAGGCGTACGTACTAAATTAACAGGAGCAATGGCGAAGAAGCTGTCAAGTCCAAGGTTCACGAACTCTAACTCCATTAGCGATCTCAACTACCTTTTTTATACAGCAGATGGACATCTCTAGCAACCTTCATCTTTATAGCTAAATTTCCCCACCAAAAGCCTGGACAGACCGTCGTGATTTGTGGGCGAACTATTTACAGGAGTGATCGATCTCATGAAATGTTAGCCGAAATTCCGAAATGCGTTTCCGATCAGGAAAGATTACTTGGGTGGGGTTCAAGTACATATTAGCATGCGGCATAATCCTATAATATTTTGGACTCGGCAAGATGTCAGCTTTTGAAAATACTTCTTTTCAATTTCCTGTAGAAACTGCACTCGGTGAAAAATGACTACATGGGCAGCATGAATTTTTCGCATTTATTTCAATAGTCTTAGAAATTCAAATATATTTTAAAAAAACAGGAATGAAAATATGCTTTCTTTTACTTGTTTGATAAATAATTGCGTCGTTTTCATATTTTTTTACTCGAAGACACAGTGTAATTAGGTTTTAAAAAGTTTATACTTATGAGCATTTTTTAAGACCGTGCAATGTCCCTTCATACAGCATCGTACCTCTGCTTTTGTCACTGCTCCTCATGAAATGTACAACATAGTTCACATCCATTGCAGAATTGTATCGAATATATATGGTATCTTTTAAAAGACATACAAGAATATACGATTTTCCTTACGCGAACGCATGCACCTTGTAGACTGAAATCACGAGGCGCTGATGCAACGGCTAATCAGGCTCCAAATTATTCGGGAATTAAAAAACTTTTCTAAAACCTGAATACACTCCGTCTTAGAGCATAAAATATGAAGATGACGTAGTTTTCTATCAGACGAGTAAAAGAAAGCTTATTTTTGTTCATGTTTTTATAAAATATATTTGAATTTATAAGACCGCCGAAAATCAATGTGAAAAATTCATCCTACTTAAGTAGCCATTTTTCACCGAGTGAGGTTCCCATAGAGGTCGAAGAGGAGAGCAATCAAGAAAAGACATCCTGCCGAGTCCGAAATATTATAGGATTATGCCGCAGGATAATATGTATGAGAACCCCACTTAAGTAATCCTTCATAATGGCAAACGCATTTTAGAATTCCGGTTAACATTTCATGAGATCGGTCACTTACTGCACTAGCACAGTGTCTGGCTGAAATTCCCTCCATTCCCTTGGCTATTCAACCACATTGTAAACCCATTTAAAGGGACCAGCTTGCTTTCCTCATTACTTCCTCAACAGGCTTAGCGCTTTTTAGCAGTCTTTTTAAAGCTAGAAACCCGTTACTGAGGAGGAGTCATCTATTTAAATTATTTTAACAGCACCCACATGGGAGATGTTGTGTCTTTCATCCATTAGTCATTCTTTAAATTTCGGGTCTCACAAGTCAGTTTTTAACACCACCATCAAAGATGCACAGATAACTAAAGTATACCTTCTATTTGACAGAATCTTCGGGAGCTCTGACGCCAGTTTTAACAATTATGCGCGCAAGGAAAGCTAATTTTAAATTTATTTCAGGCTCTTATCAGTGGACTTTGTGTGATGTTACCGAACAGTCCCTACGGATGGATTCGACAACATCTAGTTCTGCTGTACAAAATCCCGAAAGACCTACTGGATTGGTAAACGAGATTGCGCTGAAGTTTCATAGCACCTGACTTCTAGGGATACGTTTATTTCAGAGGAAATGCGACCGAACCACCCACTCCTTCGAGGACCACTATTTGAACATCCTGAAAAACGTTTAAGGCGCATCAAGGTAAGCAGCCATTGTTTAAGTTTACAACTCGACGACTTTAAAATCAGGAAACAGTGAAGTTGACATACTTTACACTTATAGCCAGCAGACCTAGGATTAACTCGTTTTGTAAGTAGGCTGGAATAGGGTCACACAGGAATCAAATTTATCGATCTGTTCTGATTGCAGAGTCATTTTTATGTTGAAACTCCGGTCTGAGTGCTTCAGAACCAATCTCAAGACGATGGCCAATCAACAATCGAACAGTAAAAACGATCAAATCTGGAGGTTGATGTTTTGGTACTGGAATCACGCCTACACGCAACTGCGATTATTCCAAATGGCAGCCAAAGGGGCTTAAACTTCAGTCTCAATGGTGGTCTGGTGGCTCAGTGGGTATATGGCCCGAGTTCAAGCCTCGATTCAGTCCGGCATGGGGTTGGAATACGACTGGCTGACGACGCCGAATACTCCAGAAACGACTACATCGACCTGCGTTATCTTTTTCGATCATTCATCTTCAGTAAAATAGAGCATTTGTTGATAGCGTTGCTCCCGAGAATGACAAAGACGACGACCAACAAGACTGTCGTTCCTGTCGCAATCGACGACGACAGTTCAACCGTCCGTTTGGATGACGTCCGTCGTGTGCTCCACAACAGGGTGAGAGCAGGGCCGGTGACTTGCACGTGGGTTAGTTTATAGTGATAGTACACTTGCGTAGCATCTATTGCGCCCTCTCACCTCCTCCCCGTCTGTGCACGGCCCACGGGTCGACTTTACGATAGTGTATCTCAACTGGCGAACCGGGTCTGGAACATCAACCTGCACTCGCAGCATCCGCCTCCACTGTCCACATCGAACTCGCACATTCACCCACCGCAGGGGTCTGTTAGGCCATGGTGGAGGGGCGCTCACCGATCGTTCTTACGGAACTCACTCGTTCCATTGTGCCTAACGGGCTCCCTCTCGAGCCCAACCAGCAGCCGCACAGTGGCGCATGATATAGGCAGAATGTTATTACCGACAAAAACCAGGGAGACTGGAATGGCAATTTTTAGCTTATTGGCCGTCGTCAGCCAGTCATACCCAACCCCGAAGTGTGGAACACCTGCGGCTCGAACTCGCGACCTCGTAGTTAGAAGTCCAACGCGTCTAACCACTGGGCCACGGTGAGCGCCCCTCTACCACTGTATATTCCAGATCGAAACCGAAAGGATGACAGACCCGTGATCCAATGGTTAGAGGCGTTGGGCTTCTAGCTAATAGGTCACGATTTCGAGTCCCAGGTGTTCCACACTTCGGGGTTGCGCATGACTGTCTGAAGACGAGTAATAAGCCAGAAATGGTCATTCCAGTCTCCCTTATCTTTGTCGGTCATAGCATTAAATCTATTAGGCCACATTCGCGTCCGCGAAAACCTCAGATGGACTCTCACCGGCTGCGGCACACCATCACACCCCCCCTCACCAGCACCTTATCGCACATCAACATCTCCCACCACAAGCACCCAAATGCCACCTACTAAGCAAGTGGGAAGGGTGCGTCTTGACTCCGTCACAATGCGACTCCCCAGCTGAACGTCAAGCTCCGTGGCTTGGAAGGCTGCTGACTGAAGCCCCAAGTCAGTCCACGCAGTCCGTCCAGTTGTGTGCGTGGGTTTGTGTGGAGTGGCCGGCTGGTGATCTGATAGTTAGGCTGCAATGGCTCCTTCTTAATGTGGCCTTTATGGTACTCCCACTTCGTGGGATCCAAACCGGGTGTGGCGGCACGTTTAGGTGCGGCTTCAGCCGTGCCAGCCTCCATTCCTTCGTCGTTATTGGTTAAAATCCTGGTCAAGTGTGTGTTGTGGACTAAGAGATATGGTGCCCCGCCTAGGTGCGGGTCCGATCGTGCCAGCCACCTTCGTCCCCCAGCCCCGGTCTCCCTGACGGGCTCAGGCCTGACTTGACACCGGCTCCAGGTGGGGAGTGGGGAAGAGAGAGAGTACGGTGGATGCTAGGAAAGTCTACTACCACTTTAAACTAATTCACGCGCAAGTCGCCGTGTCTGCTGCACCTTGCTGTGGAGCACACGGTGGACATCGTCGGAGACGATAGTCGAACTGTCGTATCTCAAAGTTGCACACTTCTGTGGCGGTCAAGGATGTGAGATCAACTTAAACCACGCACAATAAGTTCGTTTCGTCTAATGTCAGCAGTCAGGGAGCTGTGAGGAATAGTTTATTCTGTACACAGGACAGTTTGCCGTAAGTTGGCTGTTTGCCTGCAACAGAGACAAGCGTCCGTTCACGGAGAGCGTCGGTCGCGGTGTGTAGTTTATGCGGGGGTGAAAGTCTGTGTCCGCAGTTGGGGGTGACTGGCTGAGTGCTGGTCATGAGATTGGACGGATTAGCGGGACGCATAATCACAGGGGGTTACGGGTGTCAATCCAGGCCGTCCGACGCGCGTGAGGTGATAATATTTTGTGAGGACAGCTGGGAGCCATTGCAGCTGAACAGGAGGGAACCCAGTTGTAGCCGGCGGGGGTGGTCGTGTGTGAGCGGCCTGTCAACGATTGTCGCGGCCATCGACCGACAAAACGGAACCGGAGAAAACGGGGAAACGGGGTCTGGAGCGGTTGTTACAACTCCCCCCAGACACCAAACGAAGTGAAGGCGTCAACATGTTAGCCAGCCACAAACCTGTCGGGTCAGTGGAAGTGACGGCGAATCGGACGCGGGCCGTCGCCAGTAGGTGGAGGCATCACTGTTTGAGGCGAGGTACAGTGTTGGGGTGAGGAATGGTCACTGTAGTCGATGTAGGCCGGCTTTACGCGATCAATGCTGACTGTGTCGGTCTTGCCGTTGCGGTCGATGACACCAGCTTTGTCAGATCGACGAAGGACTTTATACGTCCAGTCGTCGGGTGGTTGGAGGGACCGCCGGAGTCACCGACAATGACAATTATCAGGCTGTAGACTGAGACCGAGATGTGACTCAGGCTGCCACGCAGAACTGCGGCTTTCTCAGAGATACAGTCATGTCTATCAAGATTAAAGCTAGCGAAAGATTGAGAATGACGACTTTCCCACCCTTGTCGTCGGGAGTACATAAACTGGGAACGAGGTGCGGAGGCTCACGATATGTTTTCCTTTATAAGGACTACATTGAGTTGTTATAATGCGCCTAACTACATATGACGTGCACATTAGTGACGCCGATGACGGCAATGTGTTGCGTCATTGTTGTCTCCGTGGAAGTTATTTTGGTTAGATCGCAGTTGGTAGCCAGGCCCCATATTATAGGTGGCTGGGGGGTTTGTTTACTGGGGCTGTTTTTTGGGGTTTCATAATCCCATCTGACCCATTTGGCTTGCGTTTTACATTTGAAGTTAGGATTAGGGTACCGGTTAATGGTTTCCGATTTTCGGGTTAGGGTTATGCCTTTAGGCTTAGGTTTTCGGGTTACAGTTAGGGTTTGAGTTTACGGTTAAGTTTTTGAGTTACGGCTATGCCTCAGGGCTACGGTTACGTTTACGATTCCGGTTAGGGTTAGGGTTCGCGTTAAGGTTAACGGTTAACGTTTAAGGTCGGGGTTAGGGTTAGGGTTAAGGTCATGATTAGGGTTAAGGTCGCCGTCCGCTTCCCCATTCCTGGCTACCAACTACTATCTAACCGTTATTTTGGCCAGAAAAGTGACCACACTATCCACCTCGCCACATGCTACTCCACAGACAGTTCGCTCCATATCCCCGCCCTGGCTTCAATGGAGGGTGTTGTACAAGTGGTTTTTTCAGCCCGGTTCTGAAGCTAGAGTTCTTATGAGCGTTGGCGCAACGATAAAATCGTGAAGGCACTCGCATGGGCGCATCGTTAGACTAGGCAGTACGACCGTTGCGAACGACGATGCCCACGTGTGCCTCACAGCAAGGCGGACGCAGGGACGGTGATTTGCGCACGAACTATTCTATAGCGGTGGTAGGCTTGCGCAGCATTTAGTGCACCCCGAAATCCCTCACCCACCTGTTGTCAAGGAAGGGTCGGAGGAGGAATCGGACTTGATGCCTGACAAAGCTAAAGAGCCCGTCTGCGTTTACCATGCACACACCTGGTCAGCTAACGATGGAACAGGGTTTTCACAAAATAAACGAGCGGGGCTAAGGCGGCTCGGGTTCCAACAGAATGGGAATACCGTAGAGGCCACGTTAAGGAGGAGCAATTGCAGCCCCACTTTCCTTCCTGAGAGAAGAACCGAGTTGACCAATCAGTTGGCAGTCTTCCAGGCCACGGCTTTAGCGCACCGGGATACTTTTAGGGCGTTCCCGATTTTTTAGAGCGGGAAAATACACTGAGATCCGTGGGGACGGAGTCCCACAGAGTCGGTTTCACTCTCTCTTCCCTGTACTGGGCATCACCACACTGTCCGAGCCGGTCAATCACCTGATGCGAGTATTGGACTGGAGTAACTGGCAGACCTAGACAGTCCGTCTACGCGTTCCACACACGACCTGGTTCCCAGCAAGTCACACCCAGTCGACCACTCCACGCAGACACACGCTACACAAGGCCAGCTGCGATGTCTGGTTTGTGCCGTCCATTGGCAACATGTCATCCCCATGACGCTTAGTGCTTTATACCTACGTGCACCGTGATCATCTGGAGCTGGATCCAGAGTAAGAGCGCGGCAGCACACGAGGTTAGAGTGTATCTGATAGAAAACAACAAGCAAATCACAAATGGCCGGGCAAGGCTGAAGTATAAACATCTCTCCCCGTTCTGTCAGTCCTCCGGTACGGTTGTGAATGCTGGACAATGCGCGTGAGAGATCAGCGGAAACCGGAGATGTTTGACCACTGCTAGCTGAGCGCCATCCTTTGAGTAAAATAAACCAATGTCGTCTCAAATGAGACAATCGGAGCTCACTGCCTCGATATTCCAAAGATATCCTAGACCGTTCAAGAAAGACGATTGGGGCGATTCCAGTACGTTCTTTATGGTCCGCCTCATGAGGTAAGCGCTGCTGGTCCCGAACCGGCGCCATTGTCCAACTGGAGGAGTCGAAAAGGAGGCCACATCAGAATGGAAGTAGTGCTTGAACCTCGTGTATTCGGTCGTCGTCATCGAAGGGGGAGAATGGGTCGAACTCTCCCGATCCGCTGCTGCGGGTTTTCGTGAAGAGGTGTAACTCGCGACATCATCGAATACCGGTTGGACCAAGTACATGCGCAAGTATCCCCCTTGAAGTCTGTGCTTACGTGGTTGCTATTTACTTTCGTTGGGAAGAAGTCTACGTTAGGTTATCGACCCCAAAAACAATAATTTCGAAAGCATCGTCATCATGTTTCTTCCCCTGACTCTAGTAGTTCAGCCGACGTTTGGCCATCTTCACCGCCACTGATACATTTGAAGGCATGCTCGCCTTAATTATTGGCTTGGGGGCAGGGGGTGCCATAAAGCCGCAGAAAAAGAAAACGTGGTAACTTTGCACGGCGACATAATAGTAATTTATTTATGTTGACATGGCTCAACATTTAATTATGGTGATGTATGGTTAAACGGGCAAGATTCAGCATTTAAAAAATCTAGGACTTAGTAGGGGAGTACGGTTTAGACGGTGGGTTCTGCGCATACTCTTGTCTCAGGCAGTATGTACGTCATTCATCAATGACGTTGGAGTGGTGATGGAGGAATGCAGTGCATCCTGGGGTTGATTTTGGGCGGTGGAGGGGCGAACACGCGGCCATATTTTAGTCTAACGGATGGACGTTTAATCATCTCCTATTTCTTATCAATGCCCTCGGCCGATCATTAGCATCGTCTGCGATGTGACTACCTCAGGTTCAGCCTTCTAGTCATCCACGTCTGATATCGGGACATGGGGCACCGTACCGAAAATGTCTACGCCAAACTTCCTGTCTCGTGCGTGAAACCGCCCCCAACTTCGTTCATCTACTCTGTGATGCTTTGATCCTTCGTGGAGTTCATAAGGGTATTTTTTACTCCACAGGCGTACTGAGTGGCAGGAATTTCTTGTGGAAATTTCTTATACGTATTCGATATGAAAGTTTCTTTGTCTAAGTCAAAATTTCTTCCGAACGACCGTCGGCGACTGAGCACCTTAGACTGGCAACACGTGCGATGTTTTTTCGAAGTTTTTATACAGGTATTTGTTAGAACTGCACCTACCTGCGATCATAGATCAATGAATTACTCAGTAAGAATCCGCCGAAATTCAGATATGAAACGAATGAACTGCTCTCCTTTCACAGCCTTTGTCCCTTTATTAACCGTAATCTGAAAAAACGTTATATTTCAATCTGCAAAGCTGGCAGAATTCGGATTGATATCGGCGTCAGAGAAACGTCGGCTTGCCACATCCTTCTACGAAATGAATCGGAAACGGATTTTCACTGGGTAAGCGAGTTGGACCTGAGATAGACATGTATGTCCCTTTCTTGTCCCAATGACGACCCCACTACCAGGATCTCTGAAGAACGCTACAAGAAACGGCTTCTACCGTCTGGATTACTGGGAGAATTAAACTGAAAGCCCTTAGAACCTGGCTTCACCTTTTACTAACACACACCTTAGAGGGGACTTCCTGAAGTCGGTGTAACGTATGATAAAATACAGTGCACTTATCTGAGTTAACATGAGGACGTTGTTTTACCATTTAACCATTCTGTGTTGTGGTCGTTGTTGTTTATTCCAGACGAGAGTAGAATATGCTTCAGGAGAGACTTAATAAGGTAGATATTATCAACTTTTTCCTTTCGATTTATGCTAATAAGCCTTTTGGGATTTCAATAGACATGCGATTTTAACTAACCTAATATATACACTTCCCAGATTTAACGCTTTTTATTTCTTGGCATGGGTGACGTAACTCATGGAAGACGCGTAAATTCGTAAAAAATCCCTTATGTCTCGGGTACCAGGTCGAAAAATTTCCAGTTAAAAGTTAAAGTTAAATGTACTCAGAAAAGAAGCGATATAACGTTAGTCGGAATTATCATTTTCTTGAAAAGTGCGGAAAAGCGACATATTCGCGCCAAACAGCAAAACATGTCCATGCAAACAATCGGGCGAAACTTAGAAATATATCCTGAGAATAAACACACTTTTGTTGTACCGTGTTAAACATTTGCGTAAAATTCATTCTGTCCGGACATCCCTCGAAATGATCATGGAGATTTTTGGGCATCACGTTTCATGGGTTACGTCACAATTCTGAGAGCTCGATGTATTATGTACATGTGTATACATTGGAAGGTAAGCATCCAAGAAATATAAGATGGGGTCTTATATGTCCTTTGGAGAAAGTAGGAAGAGTAGGAAAAAGCGAATTTTCAAGGACGGATCCTCAGGTCGTCCTCAGACTCAGGGCAACGTCGTCAAAAACAGCTAACAATTTAGGCACGCTCAAAATAATCAACACCTACTTGGCCTTTCTGCCAGTAAGCGACCACTGCGCATGTGATTCTGTTCTGATTGCCTCTCCTCTTTTTAATTTCTACCTTTCCCAAAGAGAATACTTTGTATAAAGAACAGGGTATACGATACTCCTACGAAATCATTTTGGGTCGCTAAAGGACTGCCTGTGGGGGTTCTGGATTGAGCTCCAAGACTTGCCATGATCGATATGTTTGCTATCCTGATCGTTGAACAACCTCCTAATTTCACTGCATATATGCACATATGAGATTGATTGAATAAAGGCAGAATAATCCCGAGAGCGTGTCATATCATTCTACCCGCATAGCTTACATGACACTAATCATCCGGCTAACCCATGTCACGTACTTGCTTTTTAACAATGAAACGGGTTGCAATGGAACCGAGTGATAACTTATTGTCATGTAGGCTAGCCAGTTGGTGCAAATGCTTTTGAAAGAGTGGACATGTATCAGAACAAACTATTGCTGACCAAAAAGGCATACAAAAGCCAGAAGAAAGTTGTCATGTGCCAGTGCCACAAGCCCCGAATATACGTACCGCAGGTGAGCTAACTGATGAAATGCCATGAGATAAAACAAGAAAATCCCTGTAACGCGAAATCCGCCCAACCTGTGTTACCCAAAAACCCTACGGCAGTAAGAAACGACTGTTCTTAAAACGGGGACATAGTTGAGATCTTAAATTAATATTTACTAACGTAAAAATAATTCATTTTCACTGAAAAACTAAAATTTCAGAAAATGGCCATATTACAAGTCGCTTAAATAGGGCTTCCTTGGTTGCCGTTTGACAAGTTAGTGGCCGGCTAAAGAGCCTTTGCGTAAGCCGCACCTGTAAATCTGCCCCAGGCACGGTTGGGTTCCTTTTGTTGATTCCAGCGGCTCATTTTTGGATACTTTTTTATCCGCTTGCTTGTGGACATTGAACAGCGGAGGCGTAACACAAATGTCCTCCTTACTTAGTGGTATTTGCATGATATTACGAAATGGTGACCTAGATACTCCGCTGCATAGACAAATCACGGATTTGACCGATTAGCTGTACTCCCACAGTGGCCACCGATTGGTCTAAAAAAATAATTGTCGACGCTATGCATTCATTTAGCAGTATCAATAAGCCTAAGACGGTTTAAACTCGATATCTGTGTTTTCAAACCAGGCAGAACCCCTACCCATTAATTTTGATTCGCAGGTATCTATGGCCATGCAATAAACGAATAGCTGATAGTAATTAACCCCGTAAACCCCGGAAATGACATGCCACGCGAAGTCAGTGTTTCCAAGATCAGTGAACACAACGCTCATAACCTTAATATTTACGTCACTTATCGATCGTAATCAGCTGGTCGTGCTTACCAAAGATCATATTTTTCACTCTAGAGCCTCCCGCGTGGTCGAGTATTCCATTGTACCCCAGCCTTTACTCCTGAACCGCACCAAAACCCAAGATATACTCCCGATTATGTGATTATAAACAGGTTTTTGGACGAGGGGACTCCTGCATCTCTTGGTACTACGCCCAGACCAAAGGCAGATTATGTTTTCCATTCCAAGAGAACGAATATGGCTGAACGGGATACCAAAGTCGAAAGAGAGTGTGTGTGTGTGTATTTACAGTGAGTGACCAATCTCATGAAATGCCAGCCGGAATTCTGGAATGCGTCTTCGATTAGGAAAGATTACTTAGATGGGGTTGTAACATTGATTGCCATGCGACCTAATCCTCTGCTATTTCCCACTTACGAGGATGTAGGCTTTTGAGTGCGCTCCTTTTCAACTTGTAGAAACTGTATCGGTAGAGATTACTACCTAAGTATTATGCATATTTCAAATAGCTTTTTGGTGTCCTTATAAACCCAAATATATTCTATAGAGAAAAGAGGCAAAAATAAGCTTTTACTGATTTTGTAGGTAATCATATTTTCTTTAAACTTTATACTCGGTGAAAGGTTATGTTTAGGTTTTAAAAAAGGTTTCTAATTATGGATTTTTTAAGACCTTGAAATATCTATCCATACAGCCTCGTACCTGTCCATTTATTAAAGGTCATCATGAAGTATCCAACACAGTCCGCATCCGTTGCAAAATTTCATTAACGCTACATGGTGCTTTCTTTAAGGCATACAGGAATATACGATATTCTTCACGTGAAAGTATACATTTTTGCAATGAAATCGCTAAACATTAATGCAACGTCTGATGTGGCTCAAATTTATTCCTAGAGTTATTCTTCGAGCATAAAATTTAAAGAAAATGTGATTTCCGACCAAATCAGTAGAAGCATATTTTTGTCCCGTTCTCAATAAAATAAATTTGGGTCCATATAGGCATCGAAAATTTATGTGAAATATGCATACTAATTAAATAGTCATTTTTCCAGAGTTCAGTTTTTACAGGAACTCGAAAAGAAGTGCATTCAAAAGCCTACAATCCGCCAAGTCCGAAATTAATGTTACAACGCCATCCAAGTAATCTTCCCTAATCGAAAACGCATTTCAGAATTTCGAATGGCATTTCATGAGATCAGTCACTTACTGTACTATAATCTAACCTGGTACTCAGTAAATACACGAACCGTAGGCGTGTTCGACGGTTGTCCTAACCACGAACCTGGCAGAAAAACAAGAGAACAGGTGTACTGGAACCTGCGAGTCAGTCTTACGGAAAAACGGTGTGAATTGATAGCACCCCGTTCAAGTTGGCTATCACTCTCTCCAATCAACTTGAAGAAAGGAATAGAAGAACCGAGCAAGTTCCCGCAGACGCGGACCAATCAGGTTCAAAGGACGTACTGTGGTCCCAGCCAATAGTGACACTCTGTCGAGAGCCTGCCACATACAAGCAGCATACGACGGATACGAGCGCATATGCCATCCAGTGAGACTGATGAGGCCCTTCTGGGAATGTTAACATCCCCAAGAATAGTTAGAAGGGCATAGGAAATTACTTTGCGCAAGGGATGGTACTGCCACCCATCTTCCAAGCAGTAAGCGACTCTTCAAAAGAACAAGGCGTACTTTCATGTTTGGACACTTACTGCTGCCTTTTTACTCGTTTCCGAGAGAACCGCAAGAGCCTTAATGGCAAAATTATCTCCCAAGCGTAAAAACTGTCCTTTGACGCTGACAGAGACCTAGAGTTTGCTTGTAAAGTGGACTTAAGTTACACACCCATGTCCCGTCTGGGCAGACTTTCGAATCTTGGAAATTGACTTTTCTCACCTAAGGCTGTGCCTAGTCACGTTCAATGTCCTAAAAGTTGAAACCAGCCACCACGTGTTGGATATATTAAGACGTGTTAGGTGTTGCAGACTACTATTAACGTTCTGGCTAACTCTGACGAAAAAGTATCATCCACCGGTGACCAACCCTTTCATTCTGAACGCAGTTTGTGCCAGTGTTTTTTTAATCTAAGGTCTAGGGTTTCATTTACTTTCATTTGGCGGTTCGTTAAGAGAACGCTTTGGAAATTGTCGATTTTGATTGAATCATGTTAAGTGTGGGCGCACTGCCCTCAGTCCGATACTTAGGCGAGCTTATTTCCAACCAAGCCGTCAGAGGCAGACATATATTGTGCCAAATTCTAGAGCCTGGCAGAAGTTCGTATGCATCCGTTTCTCCGAGAGAGAACGAAAAATGGAACTGATAGGAATTCTGCTAGAACGACTGCGGTCAAGAGCGAAGTCCAAAGTTTTCACTGCCTGGCATGATTTCGTCCAGCACAAGGTTTCTGCTCGTGAAGGTGAGTATAAGCAAGCCGTATATCTATAAAAAATGTTAATACGTCTACATTTTAGCTATAAAAAGACGCAGAAAGAAGGGATATAGGGTTGTAGGGAGATAATACTATGAAGTGAAATGCAAATCGTATAAGATTGCGGGTTTGTGTCTTGGAAATGAGTAAATTTTACATGCCCATCGGTTCAGGATTTTATTCGGTAATATTTTATTTCGTGGCCGCACCTGTTAGGGGTTAGGGGTAGGGGTTGTGGGGTTAGTGTTAGGGTCACAGGTTAGTGTTATGAGCTAGGATTATGGGTTAGCGTTATGGTTAGCGGTCAGTGTTAGGGGTTTGAATTAGGGTTAGGGGTTAGTGCTATTGCTAGGGGTTAGTGTTAAACCTCCTATCACTATCGGCCCCGTATGAAATTCGACTGGCGCTTGTCTACTGCAGGTGCGCCTACGAAATGTGATCCGACCTTTTATTTTATAATAACCACCATTGTATATTCCCGATCGAAAACCGACAGGGCAACGGGCTCGTGGCCCGGTGGGTAGAGGCGTGGACTTCTAAACCAACAGGTCGCGAGTTCGAGGCTCGGGTGTTCCACACTTCGGGCTTGGGTATGGCTGGCTGACGACGGCTAATAAGCCAGAAATGGCCATTCCAGTCTCCCTTGTCTTTGTCAGTAATACCACTCTGCCTAAATAACTTTTATCTGTCAATCGAACAAATAGTATTTAACCGATATTTACAACCATACCATATGGTCCTGTTGCATGCGTATAGTCGTCTGTCAAGTCGATGAAACAGTCTAGTCGTTTTGGACGACTGTCTCGAAGCTGTACCTAGATACGTCAAGGCTTACATACGGGAAGATTGCAGAATTTAGCATATTTAAGAATGGGTTAAAAGAAACGAGCCATGTTGTCGTTGTAAGGTAGCAGCAAGAAACGGATAAGAGTTACGATTAATTTGGCATTTGATATTGTGTTTAAGAAAATTCTCAAACCTCTATGAAGAGCAAACTAATCCAAAAGTTAAAGGACATTAGTGGTAAACGTGGGCGCAGAATACGGAACGGTTTAAAATGAGTTCGTCCTGTCACCAGACTGGATGCGAGTGTTCGAATTCCACGTATGTGACATAAAAAGAAAACTGGTATACCATCGAAAAGATGCTTATTTTTCTGAGCCTTTGAACTTCTGTGAGAATCCGCTGTCAGAAATCAAAACGACAACAGACGACAGTTGTGGGAGTGTGGGGCAATCAAATCTGAGTAGCGTAAGTCTGGGGGTGACTCCGCAGGACCCTGTAGGCCGGTGTCAGATCAACGCATCGACTAATTGATTTCTCATCCAAGGGCCAAGTTTTAATCAATTTTCTTGCTTTCAGCATGGGAAATGATCTTGGTGGCTACGAAGTCAGACGCATGACCTATTTTGCAGGTCTGGGCAACCACCTGTGATGACTCGCTACTCCGTCGCACAGCCAGCTTATTCTCGTACATGCGCAATCCGGGCACGTGTTCAGTCTGGCCTCTGTAGTTACAGGACTGTTTAGACACGGAATACGATACACCACACCCGACTGCTCACTGCAATTTAAGCACTCTTGATTTTCACGACTCTGCCGCGCATGGTAACCTTAGGAAGGAATGATGTGCAAATCCAACACCTAGTCCTGCTGTAATAAGCTCGGATTTAGCTGAAATGTCCTTGATGTATGACGGAGCATGTCATATCATTGGTGCCTTTCCCGGTTTCGCCCTCCGGGGAGAGACACATAAGCAGTGGCCTATAAACAACTCAGCGTTCCAATCACATTGGATTGAAGGCATTGGGCCTAAGTTTAACTGCGTCTACGTCACAACTGTTTGTGAAATAATCCAAATAGTAGAACTGATGATGATGATGATGATGATGATGATGATGATGATGATGATGATGATGATGATGATGATGATGATGATGATGATGATGATGATGATGATGATGATGATGATG